TGCAGATCACACTTGTTGCCGGCGACATCTGACGGGAGCGACGGTCTAGCGCCGGAGGCCCGAACCGGGATGGACTCTCGAATAGCCGGCGGCAGCCAGCGCGCCGCGCGCGCTCGGCATTGTCATGGCGCGTCTCGGTCTCCATGTCGATGAGGTCGTTGAAATACTGCAGGGCGTCGAGCGAGTCCTTGGAGGTGATATCGTAGACGAGGAGGAAGGCATCGGCCCCGAGGTTTGACGATGCCCACATGCCGCGGTACTCCTCCTGGCCGGCCGTGTCGGTCAGCGCAAGATGGTAGGTGTGACCGTCGATGCGACGTGTGATCGAGTACGAGTCCTCAATGGTCGGGTCATACTCAGACGTCCATTGCGAGCGGACGAGGCGTAAGGTGATGGAAGATTTTCCGCAGCCGCCGTCGCCGCAGATGGTGATGGAGATGGGAATTGGGGGTTGTTGCTGCCGCTGTTGCTGCTGTTGCTGCTGCTGTTGCTGCTGCTGTTGCGGCATTGTTTCTGTGGAGTGTCCGCGTGGCATGTCGCTGGAAGGAAAACGCAATGGGTCGTGAGGCAGCGGGGAGAGATGCCGTTCCGATTATTATGGACGAGGCCTGCTCTGATGGACCCAGCAGGTGGTCGGCGATGCTACGAGCCGAGGCTCGGGAGAGAGGTGTGTGTGTGTGTGTGTGGCAAGCAGACACCCACGCCGCGACAAGAATGACGTTGTGCCTCGTGGCGATTTCTGGGGGTTCGAGCGTGGAGGTGGAGAATCGAGGTCGCGGATCGAGCGTTGAGACAGGTACAGGACCTGAAAGTGTAAATGTGGAAAAGGGGAGAGACACAGTCGGCGATGGTTTGGGTCCAACAGGTGGGCGTCGGACGACAGGATTGGTGGCTTGGGAGGAGATGGGTGGTTGTTTCTTTTTCAACGTTGCAAGCTCTATCGCGTCAGGCTGCGGGACGCGGGTCGATCGCTGGCGGTTCGATTGCTGGCGGTTCGGCCGATTGCTTCGGTTTGTATGGAAGTGCCACCCCCCCTCGACGCGGTTTGTCTGCTGCTGTTTGTTGACAAGTCAACGAGGCATTCGGCGATCGGTCTCTTAGGACAATGGTCGATACGTCAAGGTGTGGTCCTGGTTGGCGATGGGGCGAAGGGTAGGTTTTGCATCCAGGAAGATGCTCGCAGGTGATGGGCGGGATGGGAAAGGAGGAAAAGGGTGGTTGGGGAGGTGACGATTATGACCAGGGCCAGGGTCAAGGGTCGTTCCATGGGGGGTTTGGGAGGGCTTGGAGGGCGCGCACGCTCTCGCCCTCGC